ACACAAAGGCTTCAGCGTGCTGTCAATACAAAGGCTTCAGCGTGCTGTCAACACAAAGGCTTCAGCGTGCAATAAACCCAACTTATCTTTCTGAAGAAAGGCACACAATCAGCAGAGTGTGAACGCCTCGTCAACGGCGCTAGTGATGATGTGTTGTTATGGTGGAGATAATCACTATCGGGGGTCTGAGCCAGCTCATTCATCATTAACACGTACACGACGGCTGGTCAAGATAGGGCCTCGGCCTCGTCTGGGTACTCAATCAACACTTGCGTCACTATATGTCTGGCCATGCTGTCATTTCCGGGGGTGGGGCTTTGAAATGTCGTGTTTTCTAGGGGGTGGGGCTTTGAAATGTCGTGTTTTCTAGGGGGTGGGGCTTTGAAATGTCGTGTTTTCCGGGGGTGGGGCTTTGAAATGTCGTGTTTTCTAGGGGCGGGGCTTTGAAATGTTGTGTTTTCCGGGGGCGTGGCTTTGAAATGTTGTGTTTTCCGGGGGCGTGGCTTTGAGACACTTTGATTCTACCAGGAAGTACTTTCGGACACATGAAGGTCTCTACTGGCGTGATCTTGGGGTCCAGACATAACGTTGTCCAGACCAACTGTGCTTCTAGTTGTAATATGACCGATAAGCCACAGGTTATCCAGGGGTTAAAATTAGTCCAAAGGTACGAACTCCAGCAAGTCACGTCCCCTTTTTGTGAGGTGTTTGTAGGTGAGCCAGAGGCCACTGTGGCCTCCAGATGAACAGTGCCAGATCTTGGTCGTGTCTGGCCCAGTCCGGATATAGATCTGTGTTCCGTTGTTGTTACTTGGGGGCGTAGGTTTGCATACATAAAATATAAATATCTGCTACGCATGGAATAGACGTAGGGTGGGATTACCACGAGTCTTATTTAGTGAGAATTGTTACTCAATGAGAATCGTCACTCAGTGGTGAATACACCTAGTTTGGAATCTCTTCATCCTCTCAGATTCCACCACCACCTGTTGGTCCAGGAGCTTGTAGGAGAATCAAACTATGTCAGTTTCACATACAGAGATCACACTAACGTGATGCATCAAATGAACAAATCCACAAGGGCCGTGACGAGGATTGGAACCTCCGTCCGGGAGCATCCCAGACACTGCCTTAATCGACTGAGCTACGACAGGGTAAAAAGGGTTGAAACCGAAGTTCTACTGAACTTACTGGATCCCGTAGCCTCTCCGAGGCACAAACCAGGCTCAGTGTTAAGCAAACTCAGGCTCAAACTATGTCAGTTTGATGGCTCCATGGGTATCTCGAACCTCATGGCCATCCAGGGGTTCGAGGGATAGTTTATACACAATCAGGTCAAAGATGTAAATACATACAGTACGTATGTATTTACATCTATCTTACATCTATCATCTATAAAGGGCGTATCTTATTTACGCCCTTTATCTACATAACTACAGCTGTTCTCGCTATTGTTCTAGCCATCAACACAGCCACTGGTCAAAAAAGATGTCCAGCAGATGGAGACCCCTCATAGCTACTGTCAAGCAATATCCTCCCCCCCCCCGCGATAGCAGCCATATAGTAAGGACTGACGGTTTAAATGTTCGCTCAGCACACAGTATATGATTTTACGACCAAATGTCACATTCACTCCCAAAAAATCTTCCACTTACCGTTGTCATTCAAGAGGTGCCACCTCTTGGGTGGCTTAATCTTCATCAATCAATCAATCAATCAGCAACTTTTCTGGATAACGTCGTTATATTTATCCCCACGAATGATTGTGGGTTCAGACAGATCCAGCGGTGTTATTTGATGCTGAAGGCTGTGTTGGACCACCTGGCCACCTTGGCCAGGGGAGGAACACACAGCTGTTCTGCTGAGAAAGCCCCTTCCCCCCCCCTCTTGCTGCCCTCAGCTCAAGCTGGCAAGCTTGAGCTGACATCAACAAACCTCTTGACGAATAACCCGTTCTCGCACTTGCTTACAGTCAATATTGACTTATTTAATAAGTGCATATGTGACATACTAATTGATTGTGAATATTTTAGTTTACCTTGAAAAGCTTCACAGAAAACACCGACCTCACCTAACCTTCTTAGTATGTTAAGATAAGCATCTTATTGCTTCTTATTTACAATTATTACTTAACCTATCAACGTTAGCCTGTTCCCTGATGGCTTCCTTTGCCAGAATTTGCATGGCGTCACTGAGGGTGATTAGACCTGCACAGCAGTCAGGTGAAGACACTAACGTCTTAAGTGTGCAAGCTATTTTGTGTCTTGGGTGTAGCTTAGTTTAGAAATACCTCGTCCCGCCTTCACCTTCCTGACCTCAGCCCATCTAGAAAGCAAAACTGACCTATCAACAACAACAGCGGAGGAGCCCTCTGGCAGCAGACGTGAGACGCGCTCACTGCAGTCACGACATCGGAAGACGGGCGATAAGGTGCTGTGTCAGTGTCTTGCGACAGTGTCAGCGTCTTGTGACAGTGTCTTGTGACAGTGTCTTGTAACAGCATCAGCGTCTTGTGTCAGTATCACAATGACAGAAGAGGCCTCCCACGTTCACAGATGGTGTCAGAGAGCCTTCCACCTACACAGACGGTGTCAGAGAGCCACCCACCTACACAGACGGTGTCAGAGGGCCTTCCACCTACACAGACGGTGTCAGAGAGCCACCCACCTACACAGACGGTGTCAGAGAGCCTTCCACCTACACAGACGGTGTCAGAGAGCCTTCCACCTACACAGACGGTGTCAGAGAGCCACCCACCTACACAGACGGTGTCAGAGGGCCTTCCACCTACACAGACGGTGTCAGAGAGCCTTCCACCTACAAGAGATTGTAAATAAAAAAAAATAGTTCAGCAAATCAATCATTCTTGGGCTTCATATCGCCTAACCATCCAGAGACGACCCCGTGGACGGCGGCGACGACTCCTTGGGCGGCGGCGACGACTCCTTGGGCGGTGGATACGACCTCGTTAGCGGCCGTAGTAACAACCTCGAGGACACTGGCACCTCCTTCCTGACCCTCCTGGGGTGAGGTCTCCCCCGTCGCCTTCTGCTGTACTTCCCCCAGCAGCTGCTCCTTCCGCAGCTGCTCCTGCAGCTTCCTCACCGCCTCCTCGTTCTCCAGTCTCTCCTTCCTCACCTCCTCTCCTTTCTTCCTTGTCTCCAGCTTCATCCTGTCCACCTCGTTGCCGAAGGCGAACATCCACGCCGAGCACACAAGAAGTTCCACCACCACCATTATCTTAGTCTCCTCAAGAAATAACTTTTAAGTTATAAAAAAGGTTTTTGGAAGTCACTTATGTTTAAACTTGTATTCGAGATGGGGAAAAGGAGATTTAGACCTGTGTATAGTAATGGATATTGGCGGATTGGTATTGTTATGGGTGGTGCTGCCACCTCCATGGTGACAGGATTGGGCAGCGTCACTCATCCTGTGAGTGGACACACCGCCATAGTGACAGTATTGGGCAGCGTCACTCATCCTGTGAGTGGACACACCGCCATAGAGACAGTATTGGGCAGCGTCACTCATCCTGTGAGTGGACACACCGCCATAGTGACAGTATTGGGCAGCGTCACTCATCCTGTGAGTGGACACACCGCCATAGTGACAGTATTGGGCAGCGCCACTCATCCTGTGAGTGGACACACCGCCATAGTGACAGTATTGGGCAGCGCCACTCATCCTGTGAGTGGACACACCGCCATAGTGACAGTATTGGGCAGCGCCACTCATCCTGTGAGTGGACACACCGCCATAGTGACAGTATTGGGTAGCGCCACTCATCCTGCAACCATCCTGTGAGTGGACACACCGCCATAGTGACAGTATTGGGCAGCGTCACTCATCCTGTGAGTGGACACACCGCCATAGTGACAGTATTGGGCAGCGCCACTCATCCTGTGAGTGGACACACCGCCATAGTGACAGTATTGGGCAGCGCCACTCATCCTGTGAGTGGACACACCGCCATAGTGACAGTATTGGGCAGCGCCACTCATCTTGTGAGTGGACACACCACCATAGTGACAGTATTGGGCAGCGCCACTCATCTTGTGAGTGGACACACCGCCATAGTGACAGTATTGGGCAGCGCCACTCATCCTGTGAGTGGTCACACCGCCATAGTGACAGTATTGGGCAGCGCCACTCATCCTGTGAGTGGACACACCGCCATAGTGACAGTATTGGGCAGCGCCACTCATCCTGTGAGTGGACACACCGCCATAGTGACAGTATTGGGCAGCGTCACTCATCCTGTGAGTGGACACACCGCCATAGTGACAGTATTGGGCAGCGCCACTCATCCTGTGAGTGGACACACCGCCATAGTGACAGTATTGGGCAGCGCCACTCATCCTGTGAGTGGACACACCGCCATAGTGACAGTATTGGGCAGCGCCACTCATCCTGTGAGTGGACACACCGCCATAGTGACAGTATTGGGCAGCGTCACTCATCCTGTGAGTGGACACACCGCCATAGTGACAGTATTGGGCAGCGTCACTCATCCTGTGAGTGGACACACCGCCATAGTGACAGTATTGGGCAGCGCCACTCATCCTGTGAGTGAACACACTGCCATAGTGACAGTATTGGGCAGCGCCACTCATCCTGTGAGTGGACACACCGCCATAGTGACAGTATTGGGCAGCGCCACTCATCCTGTGAGTGAACACACTGCCATAGTGACAGTATTGGGCAGCGCCACTCATCCTGTGAGTGGACACACCACCATAGTGACAGTATTGGGCAGCGTCACTCATCCTGTGAGTGGACACACACCTACAGCCCTCAGACCGTGCTTCTTGTTCGTGTGCTTACCTCCGGAAGCACACTCAGCGGTGGCTTCTCTTCCGGGGTCACTGACGATATGTGAGGGGGTGAGGGGAGGTATGAGTGATGAGGAGGGGGTATGAGAGGGGTATGAGGGGGTATGAGGGGGTATGAGGGGTGAGGGGGAAGGGGTTGATAAGGGGGGAAGTGAAGCAGGTCAAGTCAGTCGCTCAGAGAAGTCAGGGTTTTCCGTGACGTTCCGGTGGTTAGGATCTGTGTAGAGGCGTACCGGGGGTAGGTGGTGGTACAGTGGTGGTACAGTAGTGGTACAGTGGTGGGACAGTGGTGGTACAGTGTTGGTACAGTGGTGGGACAGTGGTGGTACAGTGGTGGGACAGTGGTGGTACAGTGGTGGTACAGTAGTGGTACAGTGGTGGTACAGTGGTGGTACAGTGGTGGGACAGTGGTGGTACAGTGGTGGGACAGTGGTGGTAGAGTGGTGGTACAGTGGTGGGACAGTGGTGGTACAGTGGTGGTACAGTGGTGGTACAGTGGTGGTACAATGGTGGTACAGTGGTGGTACAGTAGTGGTACAATGGTGGTACAGTGGTGATACAGTGGTGGTACAGTGGTACAGTGGTGGTACAGTGGTGGTACAGTGGTGGTACAGTGGTGGTACAGTAGTGGTACAGTGGTGGTACAGTGGTGGTACAGTGGTACAGTGGTGGTACAGTGGTGGTACAGTGGTACAGTGGTGGTACAGTGGTGGTACAGTGGTGGTACAGTAGTGGTACAGTGGTGGTACAGTGGTGGTACAGTGGTGGTACAGTAGTGGTACAGTGGTGGTACAGTGGTGGTACACTGAAACACTTAATGAGGCCAGGAACGCGGGTTCGAGCCCATCGTATAACCTCAATATTTCCCCATAATTATGCATGTTGAGAGACCGGGCCGTAGGGACACTGATCCCCGGAGCCACCCTTAGGCCGGGTGGATGAACGACAATGGATGAATCCAATTGACATTAAGAGATTCGAACGCGGGCCTCAAAAGTTCAACCCCGCGAGTGAGAGGTTATCACCCAGGCTATTGTGGCTGGCATCTTGTATACAATTACACTTCCTAAAGTACAGAAACTATGATTTAAACTATAACCTCTCTCTCTCTCTCTCTCTCTCTCTCTCTCTCTCTCTCTCTCTCTCTCTCTCTCTCTCTCTCTCTCTCTCTCTCTCTCTCTCTCTCTCTCTCTATATATATATATATATATATATATATATATATATATATATATATATATATATATATATATATATTATTGCATTATTTACTAATATATTTATTCAATTATTCAATTTATTATTTATTCAATTAATAAATACGCATTTGGTTTAATTAAAAAATAATAATCTAACTCAACACAGTCTAACGTAAATAAAAAAATATTAGATAGTCAATCAGGCCAATTCCAAAAAAAATGTTGATATTGTAAAATTATCAAACTCGCGCCAGCACTGACACGAAGCCAGCGATGACACCGTGCCACTGACACTGAGATTGACACTTGACATTGACACATGACAGCTTGAGGGGTAGAGGAAACTCAGGAGACAATGTGGTTGACTGCTGTCACCAGGCGGGACCGTCTGCTGAGTCGTCAGGTCAGCAGGTAACGAATTATAAACTGCTGAGTGCGGAAGGCCGCGTGGGTGATGACCTTCTAGGTGAATCTTCCTTACTGCTGTGCTTAGAAACACTGATTTACCGAGTGCTGGAGTCAGAGGTGTGTGTGTGTGTGTGTATATGTGTGTGTGTATGTGTGTGTATATGTATGCGTATATGTGTACGTATGTGTGTGTGTGCCTCTACCTGCAGGAGTGAGGGGCCAGCCTGTGTGTGTATACAGGGATGCCAATCTCAGGGACTGCGACAGGAAGCTGGTGGCTGCTTTTGATTCCTTAATTTCCATAAGGGGTTTGTAGCCCAAACTTATTTCAAGATTTTAAGTAACCCGTGAATCTCTTTTTCGCCCGTAGCTTGGGCTCTGAGTGCCGGCTAATGAACCATGTGTTACAGATGTTGTTAATGATGAGAGAGTGGCTACTGCTGCTGGGGGCGCTGCTGACTGCTGTGTCCACAGTTCCCGCCAACCCTACGGTGAGTGGCCTTCCTCCCTGTCTGTCTGTCTGTCTGTCTGTCTGTCTGTCTGTCTGTCTGTCTGTCTGTCTGTCTGTCTGTCTGTCTGTCTCTGCTTCTGTATGTCTGTCTGTCTGTCTGTCTGTCTGTCTGTCTGTCTGTCTGTCTGTCTGTCTGTCTGTCTGTATGTCTGTCTGTCTGTCTGTCTCTGCTTCTGTCTGTCTGTCTGTCTGTCTGTCTGTCTGTCTGTCTGTCTGTCTGTCTGTCTGTCTGTCTGTCTGTCTGTCTGTCTGTCTGTCTGTCTGTCAATCTCTGCTTCTGTCTGTCTGTCTGCGAGAGAGATAGTGTCTGTGGCCGTCTGCGATCTATATCTGTCTGTGTCAATAGGTAAGTATATTTGACCTCTGCCAGTGGCCTGACCTTTGACCTCTCTCTCCTTCCAGCAACGGTACCTGGACCAAGATCGTCAGAACAGAGGTCAGTAGATCCAGTCAATCTCCTCAAAAAATTGGGTAAAATCTTGAAAAATGCTCAATTGAAATTCACACTTTCTTGTGTCTAGAGAAGGGAAGTATTTAACAATTTCTGGTGCTTGTGTTAAGTTTTAAAAATAGGAATATGATACAATAGTTAACTTTTCGTTTGTAAGGTGTTTTTAACATATATTTAACGGTAGGAAGTTGTTCATAATTAGGACCATAATTATCACCATCTTTCTTTCTCCTCTCTCTTTCTACTTACATCCTTCTTCAACCACTATTTCCACCTCCATTATCAGCCCTCAATCACCATCAACACTCCCACCATCACCACTATCACCATCACGTGTCTTTGGGCCTGATTCACGAGGCAGTTACGCAAGCACTTACGAACGTGTACATCTTTCCTCAATCTTTGACGGCTTTGGTTACATTTATTAAACAGTTTACAAGCATGAAAACTTGCCAATCAACTGTTGTTATTGTTATAAACAGCCTCCTGGTGCTTCGGAGCTCATTATAACTGTTTAATAATTGTAAACAAAGCCGCCAATGATTGAGAAAAGATGGACAGGTTCGTAAGTGCTTGCGTAACTGCTTCGTGAATCTGGCCCCAGGTTCGTAAGTGCTTGCGTAACTGCTTCGTGAATCTGGCCCCAAGTTCGTAAGTGCTTGCGTAACTGAATCGTGAATCTGCGCCCTTGTCTGCAGCAGGCAGCGGTGCCGGGGACGCAGCAGAAGCGGCGCCGCAGGTGGTGTGGGGAAAGCAGTGTTCGCCTCGCTTGGCTTGTCTTCGCCTGCTCCAAGATACCATTCTAGAGTGTGAGGTGTTTGCTCCCTCAGGCACCGTCCTCTCCTGGTACAAGGACCAGGCGCCCCTCGACCGTCAGGTACGTCCCGTCCTCTCCTGGTACAAGGACCAGACGCCCCTCGACCGTCAGGTACGTCCCGTCCTCTCCTGGTACAAGGACCAGACGCCTCTCGACCGTCAGGTACGTCCCGTCCTCTCCTGGTACAAGGACCAGACGCCTCTCGACCGTCAGGTACGTCCCGTCCTCTCCTGGTACAAGGACCAGACGCCCCTCGATCGTCAGGTACGTCCCGTCCTCCTCTTAAAGTTTTTGGCGTGTCCAAATGGCGCATCCCGATGCTCACTTCTTGAGCATCGGGATGCGCCATTCTCACAAACAAGTCACAACATCCCGATGCTTTACTGTCAACAAAAACTGATTTTGTCGCCTGAAAAACGTCTGAAAATCGCTGATATTACATCATTACCCGCCGTAACAAGAGACTTTTGAATGTATAATCTACGTCTGAAGTCTTCAACGTCTGGCTTTCTCCTTCTTTCGACAGATAGATGAGCGGAATAGTGTGTGGAGAGGAGGTCAGACTCTGGCAAGGTCCACCTCCAAGGTCCACTTGTCTTCCGTTGTTTTCATCGACTGCGCCTCCGTCGAGGACCTGGTAAGAGGGAACTGTGTATAGGCAGCTAGGGTGATGTCTTGAGACGTGATAGACAGCTAGGGTGGTGTCTTGAGACGTGATAGACAGCTAGGGTGGTGTCTTGAGAGGTGATAGACAGCTAGGGTGGTGTCTTGAGAGGTGATAGACAGCTAGGGTGGTGTCTTGAGACGTGATAGACAGCTAGGGTGGTGTCTTGAGAGGTGATAGACAGCTAGGGTGGTGTCTTGAGACGTGATAGACAGCTAGAGTGGTGTCTTCAGACGTGATAGACAGCTAGGGTGGTGTCTTCAGACGTGATAGACAGCTAGGGTGGTGTCTTGAGAGGTGATAGACAGCTAGGGTGGTGTCTTCAGACGTGATAGACAGCTAGGGTGGTGTCTTGAGAGGTGATAGACAGCTAGGGTGGTGTCTTGAGACGTGATAGACAGCTAGAGTGATGTCTTCAGACGTAATAGACAGTCACTCTTCCAACTCCTTGTCTTCCTATCCCTCCCAAGTACCATATGGTCATACTAGCCTAGCATTAACACATGCTAATCACCTGATGCTCATCTCGTATCTTGCTCTCACCTTCCTGCTAATAAGGTACCTTCTCTGTACCCCTCACAGGGAGAGTACCGGCTGGAGGTACGCACACCAGGCGACCAGGTCTTCGTCAGACACTTTACCGTCAACTTGACAGGTAAGTCTTCGTGAACACTCACTCCCCCCCCCCAGATCATTCCCAACCTCACGACCTCTGGGCATATCCATCAATCTCACGACCTCTGGGCAAATCCACCAATCTCACGACCTCTGGGCATATCCATCAATCTCACGACCTCTGGGCATATCCATCAATCTCACGACCTCTGGACATATCCACCAATCTCACGACCTCTGGGTATATCCAAAAACCTCACGACCTCTGGACATATCCACCAACGTCACGACTTCTGGACATATCCACCAATCTCACGATCTCTGGACATATCCACCAACGTCACGACTTCTGGACATATCCACCAATCTCACGACCTCTGGACATATCCACCAACCTCACGACCTCTGGACATATCCACCAACCTCACGACCTCTGGACATATCCACCAACCTCACGACCTCTGGACATATCCACCAACCTAACGACCTCTGGACATATCCACCAATCTCACGACCTCTGGATAAATCCACCACACCTCTAATTCCACGATTTCGAGTTCCCAATACAGGAAAATGACACACACACACACACACACACACACACACACACACACACACACACACACACACACACACACACACACACACAGGAAGTGATGTGGTGGAGGCTGACTCCATACACAGTTTCAAGTGTAGATATGACAGAGCCCAATAGGCTCAGGAACCTGTACACCAGTTGATTGACGGTTGAGAGGCGGGACCAAAGAACCAAAGCTCAACCCCCGCAAGCACAACTAGGTGAGTACACACACACACACACGACAGTATACCCTCAGCATGTTCCTCTACGCTCAGCAGATACCGAGAAAGGTATGCCGGGGCGCACGTGCTGGTTCGGGAAAGACTTGATAGATCAACTCCCACGCATCTACGAGTACGCCAGGAAGGCTGCGGGCGTGCACGCCAGCGACGTGCTGCTGCCGTGCCGCCTCCGTGCTCACCTCCACACCAAGTCCACAACCTGGCTCTTCAAAGGCACGCGCCTCGCATCGCACCATGCCAAGTATAAGGTAATGGACCTGGGGTAGAATGGGAGGGAGAGGTAGGGTGGGAAAGAGAGGTAGTGGATCTCAACCCCATTCTCTGGGTGGTAGTAGTGGACCCCATACCCATCCTGAGGGTGGTAGTGGGCCCCATATCCATCCCGTGGGCGGTAGTGGACCCACATACTCATCCCGTGGGTGGTAGTGGACCCAATACCCATCCTGAGGGCGGTAGTGGGTCCCATATCCATCCCATGGGCGGTAGTGGACCCCATACCCATCCCATGAACGGTAGTGGACCTCATACCCATCCCATGGATGGTAGTGGACCTCATACCCATCCCATGGACGGTAGTGGACCCCATACCCATCCCGAGGGCGATAGTGGTTAGAAGCACATAATAGGATCAAGACCTAAACCCTGAAATTCATTTAGCTAGTTACAATCTTGCTAAGCTAGTTACAATCTTGCTAAGCTAGTTAAACACTTGAATATATCATAATTTACAGCACAATTACCTCAAGAACTGAACCGCAACAATCTCCCTGATGAGCAGTTCAGTGAGTGGTGAACCAGTTATGTGTAGTAACTGGTTGATCTCTCTACAGCTGCTGCCAAGTGGCGACCTGCTGGTGAGAAATCTTCAACCGGAGGACCAAGGAATGTATACCTGTCGCGCCTATAGCAACAAGATTATGGGCTACACTGACCAAATACACACCTTCGTCTATCTCATGGACCAGGTGGGTGGGTGCTTGGGTCCCCTCTGTTGGCAGCTGGGACCATTTTGGTGGTGGCGTGAGGTCTGTGGATGCTTGGGTCCCCTCTGTTGGCAGCTGGGACCATTTTGGTGGTGGGGTGAGGTCTGTGGATGCTTGGGTCCCCTCTGTTGGCAGCTGGGACCATTTTGGTGGTGGGGTGAGGTCTGTGGATGCTTGGGTCACCTCTGTTGGCAGATGGGACCCATGTTCAGGCGATGAGTCACAATAACGTGGCTGAAGTAGTTTGACCAGACCACACACTAGAAGGTGCAGGGACGACGACGACGTTTCGGTCCGTCCTGGACCATTCTCAAGTCGAATTCCCATACCATTCTCAAGTCACAATCGACTAGAGAATGGTCCAGGACGGGCCGAAACGTCGTCGTCCCTCACTTTCTAGTGTGTGGTCTGGTCAAACAGCTGGGACCCTTTTAGTGGTGGTGGAGAGGTCTGTGGATGGGGGGGTCCTCTAGGACGATATTACGGAACACATTTTTAGGGTATTGGGTTCAGTACATAACAAAAAAAAGTCGCCTTTTGTGAATAGTGAATAGAATAGGATCTTTTAGCTCCTTTCGTGGTTAGTATAATTAGACCCTTCGCAAGTTTGGTGGATTTTTGGGACAATCAGTAGTTAGATATATTTTATAGGTAGTGTGTGGATAGTCAACCCAAGTGGTCTGGTATATGTAGTTCCATGAACACTGTATGAAACTATGTATCCACAATGTATCCACATTTGCCGCTTCCCGCATGTATGTAAACCAGACAACACATTCACATTCTCAGAGGGTAGATAAAGATAAACAGGGTAGATAAAGATAAACAGGGTAGATAAAGATAAACAGGGTAGATAAAGATAAACAGGGTAGATAAAGATAAACAGGGTAGATAAAGATAAACTGTTTAACACTGGTGGGACACGAACAAGGGGACACAGGTGGAAACTGAGTACCCAAATGAGCCACAGGGACGTTAGAAAGAACTTTTTCAGTGTCAGAGTAGTTAACAGGTGGAATGCATAAGGCAGTGATGTGGTGGAGGCTAACTCCATACACAGTTTCAAGTGTAGGTATGATAAGAGCCCAGTAGGCTCAGGAACCTGTACACCTGTTGATTGACAGTTGAGAGGCGGGACCAAAGAGCCAGAGCTCAACCCGTGAAAACACAAAGACATCCATACACGTCTTAAGTTAGAAAACGACGGAAGAAGGTGAATGAGCCACATTACTGTTCCTTATATTTCTTTTCATTATATAGGAATTCCTTATATAGCTGTTCCTTATATTACTGTTCCTGTTGGTTGCTGCTATGGCGTTTCCGTTTTTATTTCAGGAGACCGTTGTTTAGGACCCAGCCGTTGTCAGCAGCACTACAGCTGTTGTCAGCAGCACTACAGCTGTTGTCACCAGCACTACAGCTGTTGTCAGCAGCACTACAGCTGTTGTCAGCAGCACTACAGCTGTTGTCACCAGCACTACAGCTGTTGTCAGCAGCACTACAACTGTTGTCAGCAGCACTACAGCTGTTGTCAGCAGCACTACAGCTGTTGTCTCCAGCACTACAGCTGTTGTCAGCAGCACTACAGCTGTTGTCAGCAGCACTACAGCTGTGGTCTCCAGCACTACAGCTGTTGTCAGCAGCACTACAGCTGTTGTCAGCAGCACTACAGCTGTTGTCAGCAGCACTACAGACGTTGTCAGCAGCACCACAGCTGCTGTCACCAGCACTACAGCTGTGGTCTCCAGCACTACAGCTGTTGTCAGCAGCACTACAGCTGTTGTCAGCAGCACTACAGCTGTTGTCAGCAGCACTACAGACGTTGTCAGCAGCACTACAGCTGCTGTCACCAGCACTACAGCTGTGGTCTCCAGCACTACAGCTGTTGTCAGCAGCACTACAGCTGTTGTCAGCAGCACTACAGCTGTTGTCAGCAGCACTACAGACGTTGTCAGCAGCACTACAGCTGCTGTCACCAGCACTACAGCTGTGGTCTCCAGCACTACAGCTGTTGTCAGCAGCACTACAGCTGTTGTCTCCAGCACTACAGCTGTTGTCTCCAGCACTACAGCTGTTGTCACCAGCCTACAAGTGTTGCCACAAGGTTCCTACAGTCCAACATTTAACCAGAAACAATCCGAAGGAATATTTCTCGTTGTCGGGGACAGGAAGGCTGCACTTGTCCTGGTAGCTAGGTCTCTTAAGTCACATTGCTGACCTTTCCTGCAGGATACAACCCACAACAGTTGTCTGACTCAATGGTGAAGAATTTGGACAAGCTGCCGGCTTCCTGTTCCCATCGAGAGGCTATCAGTGATGGGTTTCTTCAGGATAAACATAATGCGATGACCAATGACAGCGAAAAGAAATTTCTTAAATGTTTCCCATTAAAAAAATTTTCTTTACCTCGATACATGTAGAAAACGGGATCATAACAATGTCCCCCCCCCCACCGTCAAACCACCTGGAGAGTTATCTAGATGTTTGTGATGGTCTGAAAGCATATTATGGTTCTAGTAATATACTATTTGTAAACTGGCTAGTGAACCTTTGTCCTAAATAGAGTTTAGTCTCAAGTTAGAGTATTATTATATTATAAATCGTTGGTTTAAGTTATAAAATAGTGTGTACTGAAAACATTTTCTTTGAAACAGGTTGAAGAATTTGGTTTTCTGTAAATGAAAATCAAGGGTTGACTTCATTAATCAAACGAAATCACTCCATTATCAATCCATTATCCATTATATTACTATTACCATTACCGATTTCCTCCAGGAGGAAAGGTTGATTTTAGTATCTTGATGTGAACATTTTTGTTAATTCTGAAGATTTTATACATTATTTATACATAATTATGTATAAACAATGGAATTAATGATAAAGGATACGCAGAACCCTTTACATTCTCTGCTGAAATCCTAGAGAATCAGGTTCGATCCTCGGTCAGGACAGATACGGTTGGGCACATTAACTTTCACCTTATGCCGATGTTCAGAAAGCAGTAAAGTAGGTACCCGGGAGTTTGCCAACTGTTGTGGGTTGGAACCAGGGAAAGGTCCTCGATAGGCCTAACTACAGGCTCCCTGACCCCGATAACAGGGATTAATACACAAATGACGGTGTATATATATATACTGAAAGGTGTATACACATAGTTTACTTTAGTCCTTGGCTATGTTCAGAGGTACTCTTAGTGTATATACACCTGTAAACAGTTTACACCCCCTTGAATACCTGCATATATATGTAACTGAAAAAACAGCACTACAAAAATACGTGTGGTTATTCAATGTTATTATGTGATGGAAAAAAGCCCTCTACATCCATTATGTGATGGAAAAAAGCCCTCTACATCCATTATGTGATGGAAAAAAGCCCTCTACATCCATTATGTGATGGAAAAAAGCCCTCTACATCCATTATGTGATGGAAAAAAGCCCTCTACATCCATTATGTGATGGAAAAAAGCCCTCTACATCCATTATGTGATGGAAAAAAGCCCTCTACATCCATTATGTGATGGAAAAAAGCCCTCTACATCCATTATGTGATGGAAAAAAAAGCCCTCTACATCCATTATGTGATGGAAAAAAGCCCTCTACATCCATTATGTGATGGAAAAAAGCCCTCTACATCCTTCTTAATTAATGTGTTTAAAAGCAGATTAACTTCGGTGAAATTTTGTGTCCCTCTTTATAAGCTAGCAGAGGGACACACTCTGCTCTGTTGTGTGTGGCAGAAGCAGAGAAGTCTGAGTTTGTTGACATATAAAACACTCTGTGAATGTCTTTACCGTTTTCAAACTACACTTGAAGAATAAGCTGTTGTGTATGTAGCAGGTTCTGGCCCCTACATATGGTTAAATATACCAGTGTAAATTTACTGTAAACATTTTACATTTATATGTAGATATAAATGTCTATTACGGGACTCATCTCATAAATAGAAACTTGTTTAGGTATATATGTAAACTAGGAGTTATCTCTCTTTAAGTCTTCCCTCTACATTCTCTCATCTCTATTTCTCTATCACCCCTCCCTCTCTTTCTTGGCCCTCTCTCCTTCCCTCTTCAACTTTCTGCCCCATTATTCCCCTCTCGCTCTTCTCCACCCTCTCTCCTATTCTCCATTCTCTCAGAACTTCTGTCTTCTCCACATATCTTCCATTCTATTACTCCTTATCTTCCCAAACTCATCCCCTTTGCTTCCCTCTATCTCCCCTTCTTTCTCTCTCTCTGTCCCTCTCTCTCTTTCTCTCTCTCTCTTTCTCTCTCTCTCTCTCTCTCTCTCTCTCTCTCTCTCTCTCTCTCTCTTTCTCTCTTTCTCTCTCTCTCTCTCTCTCTCTCTCTCTCTCTCTCTCTCAGAAAATGTAATACTGTACTGAATAATTTTTTTTTTTATTAAGTTATGAGGTACATCTGCATTAGTGCAGCTACCCTAGACTATATGAAGTGGAGTACCGTGTGTCAAAAAAGCTAACTAGGTGATGCTAAAAAATCCCCATCACACAGGATGGTTAGTCATACAGAGGCATGTGATAGGCGGTCTGCACTGGCAGACTCCGGATGCATTTTGAGGATATCAACACCACAAGATTGAATAAGGCAGCAGTGGTAATACAAGTCCCCATCTCGCAGGATGGTTAGTCATACAGAGCCATGTGTTTAATAGCCTGCACTGGCAAATTTTGGGTACACTGTGAGGATATCTTCAAGAATACGAGAGTGAATAAAGTAATTGCAGAGCTCCAGGTACCTCATGCCAACTGGTCTGAAAGGTCTAATAACTGGGCATTCAGTGATGTAGTGCGGGATATCATGCCGTAGTTCCTGCTCACAGAGTTTGCAACTTGTACTGAATTAACATTCAGTTTATCGCTACGAAATCTACGGAATCTGCCAGCCAACTTTCACTGATTTGTATGTACTCACCTAATTGTGCTTGCGCGGGTTGAGCTCTGGCTCTTGGTCGGAGGTAAAGTATAGTCTTATGTGGAGGGAAGTTACTATTGGACCAGACCATCGCTTAATAGGATCAATAACACCAACCCCGTGCAGCCTATGTCCATCCCATACCCCAGACCAGTCACCCTTGGCTGGGGCAAGCCCCGAGCGTCAGATCTACAACCTTGTCTACATTCTCTCATTTATACAGATATGCTCTGAAAAAAATATTCATGTAAAATATAGTTAACTATGGAGTTATAGCTCCATAGTTAAAAATATACATATATTGAATTATTTAAACCAATGTAATCATATCAATCCATCAACCTGAAATGATAGTACTCATAGTAACTATTTGATAGAAAGTATCAATATGTAGTGATGGTTCACCAAATTGTTAACTTTAAGAACTTTTGATCATATTCAACCAAGAAAAAAAATAAAGCTAAATACAATACTTAACCATTCCTAAACCTCGCAATTGCAGATATATGCACTACAGTAGGCCTAAGATGGCGTATATTAGGCCTAAGCTTGCTAGGAGAAGTTAGATTCTATATTTATATTGAGGTTAAATAAAAGCCCCCCGCCCCCCTCTTGCCCAAAATTCAGAGAAACTCAAAAAATTCAACTTATTGGTGGTTCATTAATACATATTGATGCTTACGACCAAATAGTATACATACTATCATTACAGCAAGACGGGCTATGTATAAGTATGAAAACTAATATTCAAAACCCATATGTTTAAAAACTTGAAAACCGTAGGTTTCTGATCACAAAAGTTATGCCAAAAAAGGTATTAATTTCTCCATTGATCTTACTGTGAAGTTTTAGATTAGCATGCAAAGTGCTAAGGCCTATCAGATAGGCCTAGAGCCCAGTCCTCGTTGAGTAGTTAGGCCTATACAGCCCATTTACATAGGCATACATTCCCAAACAATGACTAGTATGCCATTAGTCTTTACTGATGTTTGTAAATATTATTACTAGTATAATTACAAATAAATTTAGTCTTTATTATTTATTTCTTAATATACATTAGTTGGCGTGAAAATAACTATTAGCTCTCGTTAACTAGAGTTAACCATCCTCAATAGTCGTTAACCTTCGAGATTATACATACATACATATATATATATATATATATATATATATATATATATATATATATATATATATATATATATATATATATATATATATGTGTGTATATCACGAAAATAAACACGTGATTAAAAATGTGACAATGTCAGACCACGGAGGAAAATGAAACAGGAATTTCCTTAAGTACTTTCGTATATTAATATAGACTCTATATAGACTCTTTCGTATAGACTCCTTCTGAAGATGTATTAATATACGAAAGTACTTAAGGAAATTCCTGTTTCATTTTTCCTCCGTGGTCTGACATTGTCATATATATATATATATATATATATATATATATATATATATATATATATATATATATATATATATATATATATATAATCATAATTTATAA